TGTGACGTCAGCGATTAGGAAAATCCACTGAATAGGTTTGCGTAAGCCTACGTTCAGATAGACGTATTTCCGACCATAGGTTGCAATTGGTTTTCCATTTGCAGCCTGTAGGTTGGAGTTAGGATCTTTCTGTCGATCTGCTGCTGTAGCAGGAAGGACGCTGACTTCGGCGCCTGTGTCGACTAGATATCTAGTCTGGCTAATTACATCATGGATGTAAAGTAAGCGGCTAGTGCCACCGGCGACGGTTGCCGCTAACGCGTGCCGGCGGGATAGTTTCCCACAGACTTGGAGGCTTTGCCGAAATCACAAGGTTTTCGACAACATTTCGCTTCCTTGCCATAGGTGTTGTGATACCAACACCAGTCAGGATTTCTGAGAGAACGTGTGTTGGACTTAGATCGTCCACGTGCGCTTTGCCGTCTAGGGGATTTAGAACGACGATAGGAGGAATCGCTAGGCTTGTTTGACCTAAGCATCTGCTGGACGGAGTTGATTAACTCTATCATTGCAGAATGCTTTCTCGAAGTCTGTTCGGTAACAGAGTATACTTCAGTAACTGGCCGTTTCGTTATCTCTAGAATTCTATCTGCAGAGACAGCTAAATCATCCATGAGAACACCCTGAAGTGTCACAAGTACAGTCTGAACTGACTGTGGCAGTTTGGATAAAAATAGTTCTCTGAACAGTCCTTCATAGAACTGACTTTGGCCAATGATCTCTTTCATTCTTGCCAGCATGCTCACGGCTGACTGATCTCCTAACTCGATGTTACGAAATAACTCATCCAGACGTTGTCGATCTGTGAGAACGTTTCTCTTAAGGATGGATCCTTTGAGCAACTCGTACGAGTTACTTACCGACATCTGCAGAGTTACGCACCTGCTGAATTCCCGCGGTAGGGCGTGAATAACTGCAAGGAACTGTGAACGTTGATCAGTTATGCCATGTTCACAAAAATCAGACTCAGCAATCTGAAACCACGTTTCACCATTATCTGGCCAATATGGTACTAACTGGATTGTTTTGGCGGTTGAGCGAATCCGAATAACTTTGGGGCTAGGATCACTCATGACGAAACGTATGCCGATAACAATATAGTACAAGAATAAACACAAAAAGGAACGAACTCACCGGGTTTATCTGCGTGTGAAGATGTAGTTCGTGGTTGGGCTCACCAGTTTAGGTGTTTACAGGTATCGACGTTCGCGAGCTGTACGGATTATACTAACGCAAGATCTTATACCAACAACTTCTATAGTGTTCGTTCTTCGAGTACCAAATGGTAAAGCAAAAGACCAGATTTTGTCGTCCAAAGTACGTATTATATTTCGGGACAAAATCGCGGGTAGAGGTGAATGCTTAGCTAGCTAGTAATCGTGCACGCACGTGACACGACGGAGCACCAAATGGCGGGGATGCTTGACCGGAAGCCTTCAGCTAAACAAGTCGACTTAAACAGTGAGGGTCAGCATCCAATGTTGAGTGATGATTGCTGTGGTTAATAATTTTGGGGAATTATTTACCGCTACAATGTACAGAGCAACCCCGCCACCTCTACGACCCTTAACCCTGTCGCTGCACAAGCAACTAAATCCGCATAGCTCAGGTGTGTCATCTAATCCAGAAACCAGCCATGTTTCAGTAATGGCCACAATACCTGGTCTAAGGTCTTCCACTAATACACCTAGCTGGTGAAGTTTGTTCCCGATACTACGTATATTAGTGTACACTACCTTCAGGCTTCCTATGCGGTCCGGCTTATCCACATACGTTTCCAAGACCTGACTATTTGAAAACCCACCAGTTTAAGGTTAGTCTCACCATTTTTACGTCTTGTTTCTAGCTGGGACAAAACTTCTTTTCGTTTAAGTCTGTCTTCAAGAGATAAATCAGGTCTGACTGAAATTCCTGACCCGGCAAGGTTGTGTACATTAGCCAGTAGATGATTCTGTTCATCAGGAGAACCTAAGACTACTTTAAGCAATCTACGCTGATTAGAACATTCATCATCTCTTTTGCCTATTCCAATCAGCTTTTTAATCGATACTCCAGGGAAATTCTCTGGAAGCATCTTCCTTATAATACTACTCACTAATTTAAGGTCGCGATCGTGCCTTTTTACGGCATCAGATTCTTTGGACTCTTCTAAATTTCCAACAATTATGTTAGAGTCTAAGCAGAGCTTGTCGTGTTTAGCAGTGGCTACGTCTTTTCTCACCACTATTGATGCAGCCTGGCTACGGGTGATAGACGTTTGCCTACCATCAATATTACTATGTTTCTTCCGATTGCTTATTTTCGTTACCCACTGATCATCTGCCTGCAGTTGCTTCTCTGGGCTGCTGCAGCTTTTGATGCTACAATCAAGATTAGTGTCTGCACCACCTTCATGGTGAACTTCGCTTACAGTGTTCTCTGGTGCTGAGATGCTGTTTGCAGCTTCCGTTTTGTTACCTTTTCGCTTACTAAGACGCTTCGAACGCCTAGTAGGTTTTACTTCCGGGGTAACTGGGATAGTAACCGCCGGTGTGGTAACATTCGTGATGGCATTTACTGCGTCATCTTCAGACGGGCAGTCTGTGTCACTATTACTAGCCACGCTATCATCAAGAAGTTCCATGGCTTTAGACAGCCTTCCTTGTCAAAGTCATCTTTGGGGAGCAACACATTCTGCACATCCAGTGGGATGTAGGAGCACTACAACGTTTGTATGCAGCTGTACGTAATCCAGTACACATCTTATGATACCACTTTTTACAGTTATTACACTGTATTCCATCATCTACCAAAAAGTAACACTCCGCCCTATTACATTCATGTGGTACTTTTGACATAATGAACTTCTACTGGAACAGCCAAGACAATTTACCCAATATAGACTATATAAGTGGTTAAAATCAAAACTTAACAGACAAAAGTCAAGTTAAAGCTTTGAAAAATGTTCTTGAAGTGAATAACGCAACAGAAACAGCGATTTGTCAAAAACGTGAAATACGTGAAAAAAGCACTCCCTTTTCCAAACAGCGCGCGATATATACCCCTTGATCTGTTGCCTGGCCCCTATCTTCTGTCAGTACAAGGTGACCAGTCGTGTATTTTAGTGTTTTGAAACAACAGTTATAACTAATCTAGGTCCAGTATTTTCTCCGCCATAACCTTTTCTTTGGTAGACTTTAGTTCTTACTTAAGAAATTTATGACACTACAAATTCAAACACTGTAGACCAATGAACTTGCCAGAAGAACCATTTCGGTATCAATGAAAGTGCTTTCAGCACTCATACATGATCACGATCTATTTAAATCGTTTCTTCAGCGGGGAATACCTTAGTATACTTGGAATTCATTTATTTCTGCAGGCCTCTGATGAGATCTTCATAAATAACAACAATGATTTTCCTAACCAGTGGCAACCTTCAACCTACGCGGGTAGTTCCCCCAAACAAAGTTTTGTTGTACTGACTTTCAGTCATCACTAGTGGAAATCTTCAAGTAGGCTGTGATTCTTAAACAGATCCTTGCCTATGATAGGCACTGCAACATCAGCAAGAAGCGAATTCTATTGAGAACGTTCGCGTGAACCGACATTCAGACAGAAATATCTTCACCAGCAGATTGCAAATGGTTCTCCATCTGCAAGTTAAAGAAAGGGTCCCCTCAACTATCTATCTTTGTGTCAAAGGGGCACTGACTTCTGCAAAACACCTCGATGCATTAATGCATGGTATATCATTTATGTATAGAATTCAACTAAACTGCATAAATGCTTTAGACGAGGACAATACTCATCAGTACAGTCACACAATAAGAGGAGATTGAGAAAATGGTCCTCCGTAATTAACTGCTCCCATGATTTTCATTTACTTCGGCAGGTTCTTAGGTAGCTTTACAGCCTCGTCGATTGATTTCCCCTCTATATCCAACAACTCGACCGATGCCTAACCTCGATATTCTCACCCTATTATACCACTTTACACGGGAGATAGAACGCAGACACCTGTGATTAAAGAGCTGATCTTTTCATGTCTTCCACTCTCAATGGCCAGGTCTCAAAGCCATAAAGAAGGACGGAGCATGATTGTAAAATAGCTTGATGAGCTCAACTTAGTGCAACATTTTTCGTCACTAACCAACAACAACAACGAGCTAATGATAAAAAAACACCCGAGGGAAAACTGCACAAATAATTCGCCCTAGTTTGCAACCCTTCAACAGTGCATACCTTGGGTCGAACATACGACTTTATGGGTTACGAGGCCAGCATACTGACCTTTCAATATCTTGGTTAGAATTCAATGTCCCGTGAATTCTAACTTCTATCAATTCACGATATTACACTGCCTCCAACCAATGCTATCATTGATAGACATCTGCTTTACTCTGAGGCAACGGATCTTAACGGCCAGGACTTATCATTAGAACTTCAAGATATCCGTTAGGTCACCACTAATAATAGTCTGGCGACGAATATTTTCATTTTGGATTTTTATAGGTTGTAAATTAATTTCAATGTAGACTTCGTCAAGAACCAACATTAACTAGAAAATGGTTGAAAACCGAAAATAGCACACTGCACAGTGGTTTCGTTCTAGTTAAAGACTGTTCAACCTCGCATGCCCACGCCCTCACGACAAATCTAACAGATATTAGAATGTATGGCTCACTGAATTCCAATCCAGTGGCTGTATGGTGTCGCTGGGTCTTGGATGCGCATACTGCTGAGAACAAAACAGCTGTCCAATACTCCTCCTTAGCTCTCAATGATTCGCTAACGAATGTTGGTTTGCGCTGAAACCTACATGTGCAGTGATGTCACACTGATATTACACCATTGTTTAACAGAATTCTTCACATGTCTAATTGAAAACATCATCCACTCCCCATTTCACCTTTAAACAAAAATAACTAAAAACTAATAATCAGAGTTTACTTTATTTGCAATAGATAGAAAAACAAGAGCTGGTTACAGAGAAAATATTTTAAGAAAATATTTACAGTAGTATTTTACAGAGGATAGAATTCAATAATAATATTGCCATGGCTATCGTTTCAGTCGACATCTTCAAGATGAAGTGACTCATTGTCTGAATCCGAACTTTCTGCATCTGATGATGTGGAGGAGGACGAAGAGGACGACGATGACGAATCCTCTACTTCTTTTATTAACATTACTGATGGATCACGATAACTAATTAAAAAGTCGAAGAACAAAAGAAAAGAAATTCGTATAGAATAAAAGTATGCGTAAGTGTGAATGACATTTGATCAACAACAAAAAAACAACAGTTGCTTATGACTTTACGAAACTGTTGTTGATTAGCTAACTGACTGACTGAATTTCAACACAGAACTTTCCATAGAAGTGTAACATTCCAAGTTATTAGACACTATATACCGCACAGAGATAGAGAAAGGGAAAAAAAGGTACTTAAAGGAACTATAATAAATACAAACGTACAACAGAAAGAATAACCAGATAGGGAAACATGAGGATAATAAACAGTGAATCCATCTGCACCATTGAGAACGGTCTCAAGCCATCTTATCATCAATAGTCTCCAGCCATTAATTCTTAGAATCCCAAGGACCCTACCTAACCAGTTAGTCAATACCTCCCTACATGGTTGGTTCAAACAGACTGTCAAAGACTTCTGTCTGTCTGTCTGTTTTCAACATAGAACTTTGCACCCATGTGCAGCAGTTCAAGTCGCCACACTCCCTCCATGTAGCACACAAAGCAAGAGAAGTAGGTAGAACAAATGCAAAATAGAGACAGTAAACAGGGATATGAGAGTCAAAGACTTCATGGATATTGATCCCAGGTTTTGGTTTGACCCTTCCCCCTCCTCTTACTCTTTTCCAACCTAATCCGGTGTCAGAAGATGGCTAGACGAAATGCGCGACACGCATCCAAGTCATATCAATCAATTCGCCTTCACAACTTACTTGATCGATTGACATTTCCTCCTTAACTAGTACTCTAATGCCCAAACTCAATATTATTCACCGACGATATTCTTAATTTTGGTGGACTGGATTATGCGTCAGACTGTGCATAGGGAGTGAGGAGGCAGGAATACAATGGACCAGCGGTAAGAAGACTCTAGGAGATCTGGATTTCGATGATGATATATGCCTGTCACACAAAGTTGAAGACTTGCAGGCGAAACCCAACAAACTGTCTGAAGAGGCAGCGAAGACAGGATTCCAGGTGAACATAGAGAAGGCAGAGGTGATGAAGATAACCAACGAACAGTAACAGCAACAACAAGCGACACCAATCACTATCTACGGGAGAGATTTAACAAAGGTTACCTCCTTCACTTATCTAGGAAGCATCGTTTCAGCTACAGGTAGCTGGAATGGATGAAGATGTCAAGCAGGCTAGAATCGGAAAAGCAAGATACGCACGCTTTCATCAACCTGATACCAGTTTGGAAATCTTAACCACTCAGCATACAGGACAAGATTCGCATTTTCAACACAAATGTCAAGTCGGTCAGTCAATTCTTCTATATGGGTCAGAAACTTGATCAGCGTGTCACGAAAAGAATTTCCAATAGGTTGCAGACTTTCACCACACATCTACCTTTTCCGGCAGTCTCCATACTGAAGATCAGATGGCTTGCCAGCCGGCCAGAAAGAATCAACAACAAGAAACTCGGGCTCACTGGCAACAAACCAACAGGCGAGAGCCTACCGCTCAACAAATATATAGGAGAAAATGGAGATGGATTGATCGGGCATATGTTGAGGAAACCATCGAATGACATCGCAAGCCAGGCCACCGTTCGAGTGAAATCTAAATAGGAAGCGACGAGTGTGTCATCCTACGGTGACATGAAGGAGATTGTGTGGGGAGGAGGAGATGAGAGATTACGGGCAATCGTGGACCCAGCTGAAGAGGGCAGCAGAAAATAGAAGAAAGTGAAGATGCGTTGTTGAAGCTCTGTGTTCCATTGGGAACCCAAGGGAATAGATATAATATAAAGCAAGGCGCGAATAATTCAAATATTTTGACCATACTATGTTATTGAAAATACAGTTTATTTCATAGATGAATCAAAATATATTATCATTATTATTAAATATCCGTTATTTTCCAATTCGAAATAGAATTACACTTAAATCTCATCTTAGATCACAGACTAATATCCGTTACGGAAGCACTGCAAACCATGGATTACCGAACAGCTATTTCCCCCTAGTGGTTTAGAACTCTTCATCAGTACGCACTGATGACTCCAACGGGGATCGGAACCAGGACCTTCGGGTTACAAGGCAAGTTCGTTGACCATTCTCAACCACTGAGACGAAATCCATCAGCCCCATCAGCTCTAACTTCTGCCAATTCCCGATATATGGTGCTACAGCTTAGCTAGCCAGTGTAGTCGAAGAGTATTTCTCCTCACACTCGACCTGGTGTACACACACACACACACCACTGGTCACGAATTCCCCCATTAGGACTTCAGACAACTCCATCCTGAGTACTAGACTAATTTTATGAAGTGTTAATCTGCAACGAGTTGCTTGCTTTCACGTTACATCACCAATTGATTTCAGTTACAGAAACATTGAAAACCAGGCAGTGCTGGACATCTGTTTTGTCCTACTCTGGAACTCTTTACCAGTACCCTACTAAAACAACCATTCCTAAGGCAAACAGATAGAAAATATATTGTAAATTAAGGAGTTACTGAAAACTCCTCCACTTACAATCGTTTAATGTAATTAAAAGGACAAATTAACGTGATTAATAAATCATTGTGAAAGGCATTCACCAACATTATGAATTTTTATTAGAAAAATAAAAATACGAAATTCAGCAAGGTATATATTTTAAAATAGTAGGAGAAGATTTCTAAGTCAGGTGTAATAATTTTCAGTGTTTAAGTCAGCGCTGAAAATGTTGTCCAGAAAGATAATGAATGTTTCGCAATTAAACTATCCAGCTCAGAGCAGAAATGACAACATTAAACAGCAGCAATGGGAGATGGATTGGATTTAGGTCGAGAAGACTGTAAAATGACATTACACGCGCAAGTAGGCTCTCGAGTGAAACCCCAAAGGGGAAACAACGAGTCTGATACTTTTCCGAAGGTGACACAGAAGGGACTGTGTGAGAAGCGAGTGGATATTTGTGAAGCCAGCCAGCTAAAAAGGACTGGAGAGACCAGGATGAAATGGAAACGTACTGTTAAAGCCCTATGCAGAATCCATCCAGAATCCAAGGAAACAATGCTAATAACAATAATAATAATATGTGTAAAAGCCAATATTAGTGATAATGTACTAACTCACCGGTTCAGTTTCGTTGGTTCTGGTGGCATAGTAGGGTAGGATGGTAATTTGTATTTGATTCGAGAATTCTAAATGAAAAACAAAAAAAGATGAATCAGAGAGAAATCACACCACAGTTTCGGAATGGTTGTGATAAGTCTTTTGATGAACAAGTCTCCTAACTTAACCAACATTCTATACCAGGTATGTCGATGAAACTTTCGTTATTTGTAATTCTTTTAATGACGCATCTCAAGTATTCAAAGTCTTGAACAGCGCCCATCCTAATATTAAGTTTACAATGGGGTATGAAAAAGAGGAAAAGTTCCATTTTCTTGACCTGGTTATCCAACGAGATATGGACGGCAAAATCCCAAGATATATACACAGGAAAGAGACCTGGAGGGCGGTTTATCTTAACTTCAAAAGCTTCTGCCCTATAAGTTACAAAAAGGGATTGGTGAGAACATTATTTGATCGTGTAAGGAAGCTGTGTTCAGAAGAAAAGATTGAGGAAGAGCTATCCATTGTGGAGAAATGCCTACACGACAACGGTTACCCACAGAAGTTCATCGACAAGTATGGGAGACGTCATGTTGAAAAAGTGAAAAACAGCACAGTAGAGAAAAAGCCTATCTTTCTGCAGCTTGCATTCAAAGGTGATGATACTGCTAGTATAATAAGATGCAGACTGAACGCTGCCCTGAAAAGAACGTATCCAGCCGCCAAGCTGGAGACAATCAAAAGTGGACAAATATCCACCTCATGTTACCTCCAACTGTGGCTACCAATTTACATGTACGTGACAAAGCACATACATTAGAAGAACAGAGAGAAGGGTTATTGTCCGCATTTTTGAACACATACCAAAGAACCTGAGACTGAAAGGTCCGCAAGCATTAAGCAGTGCGATTGCGCGTCATCCATTGGACACTGGTCATATTGTCGACAACCTGAAGTTGTTCAAAATAATCAACAAGCAAAAGAAACCTAGCTTGCTACGCTTTGCTGAAGCAATTGCTATCAAACGACTTAAACCAAATCTATGTACGCAGAAAGAGACAGTGCTGAGTCTTGCACCGCCCTGGTGATAACAAAATATACAACTTTTATGAGTCACCCTTTTTCTTATTTAGAGAACTCTACTCTCTCATCTAAACATGACTCACCCTACCTTGTTCTTTTCTTTTTTTTTCTGTTGCCTATTAGATAAAAAGTTTTCTTTGGTTACGTAATCTACTTTTTGTTATGCTCTTTCTAGCTAAACCATGTTTCCATACACACATATATATATACGCAACTCTGTTTTTGTTTCCAAGCCTAATTGTCTAATTATTCTATAAATAGTCAGTATTTGTAACTCTTAATTAGTTAAATCATTTCCGACTAATGTTACTTTTACTTCCCACCAATTACTCCTTGTGATCGTGGAAGAGTGTGTTCAAATCTTTAATGTAATGTAATTCATATTTTTTTATCGTTCAGGTTGCAACCAGTTGAGAAGAATCCTCGAAATAATAAAAGATGAGCTCATATCATACAAGCCTCCAAAGCCTCAGGATGGTCGGGGGTGGGTGCCTTGCTCTGCGGGTTGGGCCACCCCTCCACACACCTCTTGAAATGCTCCCATATGACCGGGCGTCTTACATAGCCTCTCCTGAGGAAGTCCTACTCACTGCCTTCACGTGGCGGAGGTGTTTTTCACCAAAGTGAGAGGGCGAAAGCGGATGCCCGGCGCTCTTCACCGGGTTGACTGTCCATTGGATGACAGTCTAGGGGAGATGGCTAAACCCTGATTCCAAACCTCCAACAACTGGCGTATGAAGCTCACTGGAGCTCACCGGCAGACGTATGGACAAAGGGCTTCTTGGATGTCCTGGATGTCTGGCCCCATTCAAAAAGGCGTATGAACCGAACTCCGGTCACCGGCTGCCAATGGATAGTGGACTCCCTACTCCACTCCTACTGCCTTGTAGGTCACACTTAGTTGTGTAAAGGCTAGAGCTGCACTCTCAAACAAAAGGCCGAGCGATTCTGGGGACATCACTCGTACCAAATTCCCATGAAACTTCATGTACTCTCTTCATCAGATCGCCGCGCCTGGGCAGCGATGATTCGAGATGTTCATGAAGCCGGCTCATCCTCCCGTAGGAGATAGCCGAAGTAAAGTAAAAAAGTAAATATTATCCTAGTACGATTGTTGTTCTTCCGTTGTTCAAGTCAACTAACATTGTTGAAACTTCTGCTCAAACTAAGCGCATTGCCTTAAGAATTGCTAGAACTCAGTTACTCTGGAACTGTTAGTGAACATACCACGTAGGGAACGCCAGCTTTTATCCAATCACCGAAGTTAAGCAGTGTGTTAGAGGCGGTTAGTAATTGCAAGAATGACCAGCTGGGAATACGTCATGTTTACTGGCTTTCAGTGTGTCAGTTCATAACTAACCTTAAAACATTACCCCCCACATGGTTATCAAGAGGACAATGCAAAGTCAGTTACTAGCTCAATTCTCGAGCACTTAGTGAACTCAATCCCCAACAGCTATACATTTCAGTAAATATATAAATACGATAATAGCACAGTCTTTGAAGGTGACTAAGTCGATGAAGTAAATTTCCCTTGTTGAATAATGATTCACATTTATTGAATGCATATACAAGTTTGAAATAACATAAAGTTTTGTATTGTGTAGTATGAACCTCAATGTCAATGAAAATGAGAATCGGGTTGATTTGCACCATAATATGTCTCTCCAAAGTTCTATCAGTTTAAACAACAAAGTGATAACAGAGTAAACTCAAATTTCGCCTTAACTACTAAAACTTATAACGATACAATCAGTCTGTCAAAAGAACAGACATATTTCGTAGCTTAGTAGACCGATTGACAAGCGTATGTAGTATACTGGAAACAATTATAGCAGATTCTATGAAGAGAAGAAAGTACCTATAACCGACAAACTGGCCGAAGAGCGAAGCAGCGAATACAGGATTCCAGGTGAACATAGAGAAGATAGAGGTGATGAAGATAACCATCGAACCGCAACAACAACAACCAGCACCAATCACACTCAAAGGGAGAAATGTGAAAGACGTCACTCCCTACACTCATCGAGGCTGCATCGTTTCAAGCACTGGCAGTCAGAACGAATGAAGATCGAATGGCCGGAAAGAATCAGAAACAAGAAAATCGGACTGACTGGCAACAAAACAACAGGAGAGAGGTGATCGCTCAACAAATATGTAGGAGAAAATCGAGATGGATTGATCGGGCATATGTTGAGGGAACCATCAAATGACATCACACGCCAGGCCACCGCTCAAGTGAAATCTAAATAGGAAGCGACGAGTGTGTCATCCTACGGTGACATGGAGGAGATCGTGTGGGGAGGGGGAGATGAGAGATTACGAGCAACCGTGGACCCAGCTGAAGAGGGCAGCAGAAAATAGAAGAAAGTGAAGATGTGTTGTTGAAGCCCTTTGTTCCACTCGGAACCCAAGGGAATTATTATTATTCATTGCGATTACGATGAGTTTGCCGTTGATCTAATGATTATATTGCACTGAAATGTTCTGTGATAAGATATCATTGAAACGCTGTACCAGTAGCCAACATGTTAACAGAGGCCTATCATTTCGGTCCACTAGAGTTACAATTAATCAACGAGAAATATCAAATAACCACAACATATGACAATTGATGCCTGTTGTAGAAGACGTGGCTATCATGGCCAAGGGATTTCAGGGTTTCATCATGAACTGACATCGGTTCGGGGAAGATTGGAAAATCTGGGAGTACTGGCTCGGGACTCTTCATAAAAACGCACCCAGTGGCACGAGTCAAACCCAGGACCTTCTGTTTACAAGAAGAGCTTGTAGACAATTAAGCCACTGACACCCGATCCAATGGTCCCTGAATTCTAACTTCTAGGGTTTGAAACGTTAAATGCTTGGTTTGGTTCATCGGGAACACCATCACCTACTAGGGTTGCGAGCACATTCAGCTGATAAGTCCCAAACACGACAAGACGTGCGTCTTAGGGATATCTGGTTGGTTGATGGGAACGACAGGTGGAATCCAAGATGCGTATTTCATCCTATTTGAGCCTCGTCAGTTGGATGTACATGTTATCCCAATGAGTGGTAGTGCTGGAAAAGTTATTGGTGGTTTAAACAAAAACATGGAATCAGTTCATGAAACCTTCAACAGTTAGTTTGAGCCACACAGGGATGTGTAAACTGTCTGGTTGTAGTCTTCAGAATTCTAAGAACCAATGGCTTCAGAAGATATGGCTAGAAATCGTCCTCAATGGCTATTTGTAATTTACCCTATTGTTTTCCCACCTACCCATCCTTTCTCCCACACATTTCTGCTTATTATCTTTCTTTTGAATCTTGTTTCTTTTCCTACATTTCCTAAATGGAATGTAGCAACATGGACTAGTGCACTTCTGTGCACGTATCCCATGTTGAAACCAGTCAGTCAGGCGTTGCCAATCGGACTTTAACACTGTACCGATTGCTTTAAACCTCATGTCAACAGGAGCTGCAGATAGACCACAAGCCAAGTTCAACACTCAAAAACTAAAGGACCAGGATACAAAGGACATCTTTACTGCAAGCATAAAGGACAAAGCTGAGACACAAATCAACATTAGCGAAGAGGTCAGCGTCGAAAAACACTGGGACAACCTGAAAGCGGTATGGAGCGAAACCTGCATGGAAGTACTGGGCAGAAAGAAGAGACAGGACAAACCGTGGCTCACTACGGACACTTGGAGGCTAATAGAAGAGAGAAGGATGGTGAAACAGAAGATTATCTAGTGCACCGACGAGCAACAGAAACAGGAGTTGAATGCAAGCTACAATACACTGAACAAAGGAGTAAAGAAGAGTGCCAGAGAAGACAAAAGAAAGCATTATGAAGCCATGGCCAATGAAGCAGAACAAGCTGAAGGCAAAGGAGACCTCGCAACACTCTACCAAACAACTAGGTACCTCTCAGGCAAAAATTCGTCACAAATTAAGCCAGTGAAGGATGACAATGGAAAGTCAATCACCAAAGAAGTGGAGCAAAGGAAACACTGGGCTGGACACTTCAAAAGACTACTAAACCGACCGCCACCTACAACGCGCCCAACAATACCAACAACGGAAGCAGAATTACCAGTGAACATCAACCCCCCGACGAAATCAGAAGTCCTGAAGGCAATCAAGATGCTGAAAGCTGGAAAAGCAGCAGGACCAGATGGAATCCCAGCAGAAGCATTGAAAGTGGACCCAGAGACAACAGCGGACTTGATGACGCCACTACTGGAGAAGGTGTGGAAAGAAGGCAAAGTACCCGAGGATTGGAAGAAAGGATACTTATTCAAACTACCAAAGAAAAGAGACTTAAGTCAATGCAAGAACTGGCGCGGAATTATGCTCCTGTCCATCCCAAGCAAAATACTAAGCCGCATCATCCTGGAAAGGATCAAACAAGCCCTGGATGAAAAACTTCGACCGGAACAAGCTGGATTCAGGAGAAACAAGTCATGTATTGATCAAATCGCCACACTACGGATCATCATTGAACAAAGTTTGGAATGGCAGTCACCTCTCTATCTCAACTTCATCGACTTTGAAAAGGCCGTCGACAGCATCGATCGAGAGGTGATTTGGAAACTACTTCGCTACTACGGGGTGCCGCCGACAATTATACATCTCATCCAACAGTTGTATGACAACGCTGCATGCCAAGTAATCCACAACGGGAAGCTCACGGAATCCTTCGAAGTGAAGACAGGAGTAAGACAAGCTGGCTGCCTACTATCGCCAATGATTTTCCTGATTGCAGTAGATTGGATAATGCGACAGACAGCGGGCAATGAGGAAACAGGCATAAAATGGACTCACACAAAACAACTTGGAGGATCTGGACTTCGCCGATGATATATGTCTGATTTCCCACAAACTGGAAGATATGCAAGTGAAAAGTAACAAGTTGGCAGAAGAAGCATCAAAGATAGGACTCCAGGTGAACATAGAGAAAACGGAGGTGATGAAGATTCCTGGCCAACACCAACAGCCACAGCAACAACAACAGACAGCAATCAGCATAAATGGAAGGAACCTGAAAGAAACTACCTCCTTTACCTACTTGGGAAGCATTGTTTCAACTACAGGCGGAACTGACGAGGATATCAAAGCAAGGATCGGGAAAGCAAGGCAAGCTTTCATTACTCTCAAGTCTGTGTGGAGGTCAACAGCATTCAGCGTCAAAAATAAGATCCGGATTTTCAACTCCAATGTGAAGTCAGTACTACTATACGGATCAGAGACTTGCACTGCGCATCATAAAGAGCATCTCAAACAAGCTACAGACCTTCATTAACAGATGTCTTCGCTCAATACTCAAGATCAGATGGCCGGAAAGGATCAGCAACAAAGATCTCTGGGAGCGAACCAACCAGGAACCGATTGTGAAACAAATAGGCAGGAAGAAATGGAGATGGATTGGCCACACTCTGAGGAAACCATCAAGTGACATCACTAGACAAGCCATGCTCGAGTGGAACCCGAAAGGGAAGCGGCGAGTTGGTCGTCATGCAAGGGTGACCTGGAGGAGATCATGTGAAGAAGAATTGAAAGCGTATGGGTAGACTTGGAGCCAGGTGAAAACTCTAGCAGAGAACCGAACGCAATGGAGACGCATGGCTGAAGCCCTATGTTCCTCTAGGAACTAAAGGAAATAATAATATAATAATAATAATAATAAATCATGTCAACAGAGACTAGTGGCGGCACTGTAGCCCAACATATAAACAAAAATCGAGAAATGCAAGTTAACCGGGGAAAAAAAAACACAACACAACACAACAACAAATCTTACTTCATAATTTAGCTGAACTTTTTTCATTAAATCCATTGACTGTTGCATACTAAGTCGACATAGTTGACGTTGACCGTGTGGATCAAATAACTGATTACCAGAGGCTGTCCATGCTTGAAGTTTTTCACTCCATACAACAGACTGTTTATTATTATTATTTTCTTGATTATTAATCATATTATTATTACCAGTAAGATGAATTTTGACATCATTAAAATAATCTATATTTGATAATAGTAATGGATTGTATATTTTTCTACTGGGTATGGCTTGTTTGAATAATGATCTCTCTTGTTTATAATTACTTTTATTATCTTCTAAATAACATTTTTCATGACGATCAAGGTGCCTAGAACAAAATTTAAAAAAAGTCAAATGTTAACTGTTTTGGAGCATGTAGTTTACGTATAAATTCATTTGAAAGCAGATTTTTAAATGTTGGTTTGTAGAGAGATTTGATTGGTTTGAAGTCTGACCACGAAATGATATCAGTGAGAGAGAAGCATTGAAAACTAGTGGTAGAGTACTAAACAGTTGTTTCGTCCTGGTTTGGGACTCTTCAGTATTATGTACCACCCCAACAAACTAACACTTGCTCACCAGTGACTGGCTATATAGGACAAGGCTGTCTGCAGTTTCAGTGAGAAGTTGTGACTAGTGGAGTTCACTAGGTCGGATATGAGGACAAATACTCTCTGATGATATTGGCTGACTGTGGTGGTGATATATATCGGGAATTGATAGGTGTTATAGCTGACAGGCCATTGAGTTCTGTTCCAATGATTGAATGGTCAACGTACTCGCCTCTTAGCTACCAAGGTCCTGAGTCTGATTCTCAATGGGGTCGTAGGTGCGTATTGTTGAGGAGTCCCAAACCAGGACGAAACAGCTATCCAGTACTCCCTGGTTTTCAAACTGACATAAATCCGCAATTAAACTTGACACCATACTGTTTACGTGAATTTAGGTTGCCCCAGTAATGCGTATATGGTAAAGCCAAGCAGCCCTCAGTAGCATAAGGGTAAAATACACCTGTAACAGGAGATTGATAGAGCTGAAAGATGTTGTGAACTGACAAAAGTCATAATTTATAGGTGACTGGATTCCAGCCCAACAGCTGAATGTTAATCTGTTCTTTTAGTAACCTGCAATTGGTAGATTTGATCCCTAGGTGAGATTCAAGGGTATGTATGAAATAGCTCTGCGATTCTCCTCCGATTCTCTAATCGGCTTCCATCCCTGATTATTATGATTATTATTCCCTTGGGTTCTAAGTGGAACATAGAAAGAGCTTCAACAGCACACCTTCATTTAATCCTGTTGTCTAAAGTCCTGTTAATCTAAACACACGGTTGCGCCAATAAGCTCTTTTCTTTTCACGCGATTTCCCTCATGTTACTGTTGGGTGACTGGGTTTCCGCCTGCCATTTTGATTTTACTTGATGGTCTGTCTGGAGCATTTGGTCAGTCAACAGTCCGCTCAGCGGTCGCTGTTGGTAAAAGCCTGAAGCCTGTTCGAAATATTTTTGGTGACACGGTATATACTTTTCTTCATATATTGTTGTTTTACTTTTGTATAGCGCATTTCCTGGTGCCCATAATATACCACCTTTCTCGCGTTAGGTGGTATAATAAGGTAAGTAATGTCGACGTTAGGCGTAGAGTGTTGGGCAAAGAGGGAAAATCAAACGAAGAGGCTATAAAGTTACATATATTGAGATGGCTAGGTCACGTGCTGCGCATGCCTAGCCATCGCCTCCCCCGACGGGCATTACTAGCTGAAATGGGTGCAGGTTGGAAAAGAGTAAGTGGTGGCCAAACAAAAACATGGCATCAATCCATGAAATCCTTGACAGTTAAACTGAGTCAGGTAGGGAGATGCAGACTTCCGGGTTGGGGCCCACCCTCGGGACTCTAAGAATCAATGGCTGGAGACAATAGGTGACATGGCTCAAAATCGTTGTCAATGGCTTACGCAGATGTATTCAGTCTCTGTAATCTTTCATATTCCTTTCTACCATTACTCATTCTATTTCACTCTTATACTTGTCAAAAGTCTATTGATTCTCTTCACTCATTTTCTTGTCTACCTTTGTGTGCTATTTGGAACGTGGCAACTCGAACTGCTGCACTTCGGTGCTATGTTGAATCCAGCAGCAGCAGCAAATAAAGCCTGGAAAGAAGACAACGTTGAGCATGAGGCTAGCAACTCCTCCCACACCCCACCGTCTCTGAGACTCTAAATCTTGAATTCTTATGTTCCACCCGGAACACAATAAAAAGGAAAAAGGGCAATGTATCTGATGAAGGCTAACTGAGAAAAACGAAAACAAACATTGAACACTAGAAATATACAAAGTAACTTACATGTAAATATTTCTAAAATAACTGTACAATGAATGTATCACCTGTAAATCATCAGTCACAAAAGCCTTCCCCTTAGCATCATCATCATTATCAGTTGTTGAAGTATCTTGTGAAGTAGATGATAATGAACGGTAAGCTAAGAATCCTGCAAATCCTTTCCAACCGCCTAGACCAGCTAAACGAGTTAAACGTGTCCGACCCAAACCAACAAGAGCTAATCGACGCAAAATTTCATCAGGCACTTTATTCAAGTTATTGGATACATTGTTCTCTGTAGTTGAAGTAGATTTTTTCGTCATTATACTACAAGCAGTTTTGAGCTTCCGTAAGAGATATAACTCCATAGGAGCCTGTTAAAAGTATATAAAATAGGTTTATATGATAAAAAGGTGATGATCACAGAACACCAAGAATAAAGTAGTAGAACAACGTATATACACTAAAGGCGATGTGTGCATCAGTGGTTCACGGGTAGAATACCCATCAGCCAAGAATGTGGTCCGAAGTTCGATCGATCTCCAGCTGTTGCCCTCCTAAACCTCGCCTAACTGATAGCAATCCCTGAAGAGGGGAAAGGTTGGGCGTGAGGCTAGCAACTCCATCCTGTAAAAACAACACAAGTTTTAGTGAGACGTCAAAAGCTGAAAGCCTGATGCCAAAGAATGAAACCAAAAATAAATAAATAAATAAATAAACAGAAGAGTTAGGAACTAGCTTGTTTTGCATAGATACATTTCGAAGATGTGGTTGATTGGCTTAGGCAACTAGGCTGTCACAGTTAATTGGTCCCAGATTCAAAGCCCACTTTACCTACATCAGCCTGGCCAACTGGATAGTAACATTACCCTTTGTACAATGTTATTGGAAGGGCTGTGCTAGACAGTTTCGACTGCTAGGCAGGCTAGTAAATCACAGTTTAAGATGAAATATGTGACCTCAAATCCGTAATTATCCTTTACCAAATAAAGTTATTATCAAAAACAATTGTAACATTGATACCACAAAACTTATGTCTCAATGGAGACTGATTAATGTACTGCAATGCGACTCCAATGTGAAGTCAGTGCTACTAGACGGATCAGAGACTTGCACTGCGCATCATAAAGAGCATCTCAAACAAACTACAGACCTCCATTAACAGCTAGTTGTCTTCGCTCAATACTCAAGATCAGATAGCCAGAAAAGATCAGCCATAGGGACCTGTGAGAGCAAACCAACCAGAAACCGATTGTGCAACAAATAAGCAGGAAGAAATGGAGATGGATTGGCCATACTCTGAGACAACAAACCATCAAGTGGCATCACTAGACAAGCCGTTGCTCGAGTGGAACCCGAAAAGGAAGCGGCGAGTTGGTCGTCAATGCAAGGGTGACTTGGAGGAGGTCATGTGAAGAGGAGATGAAAACGTGTGGACAGACTTGGAGCCAGGTGAAGACTCTAGCAGAGAACCGAACGCAATGGAGACGCACGACTGAAGCCCTATGTTCCTCTAGGAATTAAAGGAAACAATAATAATAAATAATAATAATGCAACAATAACTTCCAGCCTTAATAAGTTACTTATTAACTATTTCAGCAACTCCTACCTCCCGATAAACACACTATGGTCGTTTTTTTTCAACTGTTGAAAAACTGAGCGATTTAAGTATTCAACAAGGTTAAGACTTTAAGTACAAAATAAGTAGGATGGCTGTTAACAAATGAATCTGCAGTTTTGCTATCAAAATGTTTCTCGAAAAAGATGATAAGTGAAACATCGCAAACACGTCTGGCAAGAGGACCATCCTCTGTATGTGTGTGTGTGTGTTTGACATTAAACTAAACTATCTTCAACACGCTGACCGTATTATCCTTAATTCTTCCTCGCACCCCCTTCCCCTAATTTATGTCACCTTTTGACCAAAATGTAGATACAGAGCATAACGACTTTAACTTCTACACAGGTTGAGATGTCTACTACCCGTTTCGCAATATGAGATTTTAATACTGCTCTTTTTCTTCTTCCCCAAAAAGTGATCAATAACGTGATGTATATGATTGATAAATAATACTTTAGGTCCACTATTCATTATGTTTAGCTGAAACACTAGTTCCCACCAGCTTACATGAGGGCTCCAAGTACGGATATTCGGACGATGCCTGCCTGAAGATTAACGTCATGTTCTTTTGGTTGATTTTGACTAACAGTGAAGTTCACAATGAGCTTTTCGTCCCATGCGGGACTCGTCAGCATTTTCGGTGAGTAATAGCACTCCTCCTCCGACTAGGACGACAAGGAGTAGTCGTGTTCGAGTTCCACTGACGAATACAACACTCACATCTTGCTGACTAGTCTCAAACAGGAGGATTCCACTGTTAGTTATCACCAACCGAAATAAAATATCAGGTGTTGGTGTTTAGAGATTTGATAAGCTACAGATTTGACGTCAGTTAGAGAACCAGTGGAAAACTAAAGGAGTACTGGAGAGCTGTTTCGCCCTAGTTCGGCACTGATGAGGAGTCCCAAATCAGGAAGAAATAGTTGTCCAGTGTTCTGTCATTTTCAATGATCTTTAACTGATGTTGGTTTGTGAAACATCTTGTGGTGAGTGCTACTGATAAGATATATCACTAGTATATTAAGAGATGTTCATCGGCATAAAAACATCAAACAAATACCAGGGAAATACAATTGATTTCACAGAAGGTGAATGATACAGTGTTGTGAGGATACATAGGAAACGTGAAAGAAAGACAAAGAAGCACAATATGAAGGAAGTCCAGAAGTACCACAACACGAAGATCTGTACAGCAAATGGTGCGCTGACAATAACGTATACATAATTTGGCTATACAGAGATACCGACTCCCAAATAAACATTTCTTAACCAAGTCTTCATCTTCTACCGTGTCAATCTGAAAGTGACACTCTTGTGTGAGATTCTGATACGACTTCAAGATCCCAATTCTATGTAACATCTTTTATTGCTTCCTTCTCATAAACAGCTTTCACTGTATACCAGCATTAAGAGTGAAAATAATTCCTGATACAAAATACCAGGTGACTGTTAAAACAACTTTACTGTACGTAACAAACTTAGACACTAGAGTGAAATGAATACATACTGGATATGTTAAGTTGGTGAGGCAGACGATATAGGCGAGGACGCTGACAAAATGCAGTCTTCTGAACACCTTCAGCTGAGCAGCAATCTGCGAATGTTGGACATGCGACTCGCTCCCGCCAAATGTAAGATTATGCTACAGGACTGGACTACACCGACCCCTAGATTAGAAATAGGAAGTGAAGTGGTAGAGCATGTTGACCACTTCACTTATTTGGGAAGTGCCATCAGACAGTCTCAACGGGTTGATCTCAGACGAATACTCAGCCCAAATACAGAGGGCTAGTTTCGCATATGCCAGTTTACGCCGTCTCTGGCGTAGACGTGATATCCGGCTACCTACCAAAGGGTGTGTGTACTGCTCATCAGTTCGCTCCGTCCTCCTTTATGACTAGCTGTGAGACCGGGCCATTGAGAGTGGAAGACATGAAAAGATTAGTTCTCTTTGATCATAGGTGTCTGCGTTCTATCTCCCGTGTGAAGTGGTACAATAAGGTGAGCAATATTGAGGTTAGGCGTCGAGTTGTTGGGGAAATCAATCAACGAGGCCGTGAAATTACATCGACTGAGATGGGCAGGACATGTGTTACATATCCCTAGTCATCGCCATCCTCGACAATGGGCTATGTTAGCTAACATAAGGTCGGGCTGGAAAAGAGCCAGCGGCGGTCAAACCAAAACATGGCTTCATCAGTCAATGAAATCCACAACAATTAGTTTAAGCCAGCCACGTAGGAAGGTGTAGACTTCCTGACTAGTTGGGGTCCTCGGGACGGTAAAAACCAATGGTTGGAAACAATTGGTGACATGGCTCAAAATTGTTCTCAGTGGCGCAGATGCATCCACTCCTTGTGACTTATGATTTCCAATGGAACTGTTTTGTTCTTCGTTATTACTATTCCTTTGTCTCACACCTCTGTTTACTGTCTCTAATATGCATTTCTCCTTTCTTCTCTTGCTTTGTGTGCTACAAAGAGTGTGGCGACTTGAACTGCCGCACATATGTGCAAGGTTCTATGTCGAAAACAGACAGTTGGTGAGGCGGTAAAGCATAGTTTTTCGAGTACTCTTTATCTCTGATAAGAAACAGTTAAAACCAGCTCAAACAGCTTTACACCAGTCTGGAGAAATTAAGGCATTAGGCTGGCTGAAGCAGTATATATTTATTATAATATGACTGAACAATCTATAAAACCCAATCATCAATATAATTGGTTGTTTGTCGGTTTAACTTTCCGCGGTAGGTCATATATTTGTTGTGTATAATGTATTTTTGTATAATAAAAATGGGACTGTTCTCACCGACACGAACCAGACTCTTTCCCAACTTTATATAGCTGACTCTGTGGGTTAGAAGTAGTCGGTGAACAGTGTTAGTAACGAGACCACAAATCAGCAGTGCTATCGTTATATCATCACCGACATAACACTATCAACTTTTAGTTTACACGAATCAAGAGTCAATAATTAGGTTACAAGAACACAACAAAAAGAATTTTGTATAGCTGCTTTTGCTGCTCCATACTGAAGATCAGATGGCCCGTTGGAAAGGTAAAGCAACAAGGGACTCTGGCAGTGCAGCGAACCAACTAACAACCTTTCGCTCAACAAATACGCCGAAGAAAATGGAGATGGACCGGGAACACACTGAGGAGAGACCTTCGAATGTGATATTATGCATCACCAAGCCACCGCTCGAGTGGAATCCGAATGAGAAAAACAACGAGTTGGGCATGTGTCTGAGGGGGATATGGAGCAAATAGTGTGAGGACGAGTAGCCGCCTAAAATATACTGCAGAGAACACAGTGAAACAAAGATGTGCTGTTGAAGCCCTACGTTCCACTTGAAATTCAAGGGAATAATAATATTATAAATAGTGAATAACAAAAACTGACAAACAACCAAATTAATCGAATTAATCCTACCTCCATCCACATCATTGTTTTAACTTTTGATAACTTTAAATATTCCATTGGATTTCTAAAATGACGTAGTTGGATATCGCCATCTGTGCTGCTGACATTATCACCACTGGTTACTTGAGTAAATAAGAATTCACAGAGTTTACAACACTCATCCATAAGATGTTGACCTGCATCGATAGTCACTTTACCATCATTGGTAGCATTACTACTAGTATTATTATTATTAGTAGTAGTAGTATCGGTTAAGCATTCGTAATCATAATTCCGTTTTTTCATATCATTTATAAAATTGACAATTTCATCAGTAGCATTTCTGTTATCCGAACAAGAGACAATTGACATTAAAGCACACTGAGCATTAGTAAAGTAACAATCATATGGTTGAATTGAACGAACAATACTTGAATGACGTGTAGAACGTATCAGTCGACTAAGGTATAATATATCATTTGGAGTGTTGGCATTATTGTCGAATGGATAACAGATAAGGCAACATACTTCATTATTCAATGACGATGATACTGTTCCATGTTGACTGGGTTTTGTTGTTAAAAATAACCATAAATCGTGTAATGCTTGAGTTGGCTGATAAAGTGTCATCTTCTTCATTTTTACATTATCGATGGGTTTGGATTTCTATGGAGGAAAAATAAAGAATACAAGGCATTACAATAGGGACAAAAACTGTTTGATCATGTAGTGATATTAGTTAAAGAGCGACTGAAAACTGAACAGTAGTGGACGGGAGTTTCGCCCCTGTCTAGGATTCTTCATCAGTAGGCACCTAATATCCCACAGGAGGTCTGACCCAGGAATTTAAGGTTATCAATGGGTTTTTCTTTAACTGATGTTACTTCGTAAACAAACTTCAAATTAATCAAAGCCCCACAGAGAAACACTTGAAAATAAACTGTCCACTGGGTTTCGGTAAATCTACAACACATGTATGACTGACTGAAAAGTTCGTGGTTCAATAGTCCGATACTCACCAGACACGTGAGAATATTCGAGTTTCGATTCACGGTTAACACACTTTTAGTTTACAAGCCTCCAGTAAGTGCGGGAAAGACAGAAGGTTGGATGCAAGGATAGTAACCTCCCCCCATCCCTGTAAAAGTAACACAATGGCTACTGAAACTTTGAAGCTTGAAGCCCAATATGTTCCACTCGGAACACAAGAAATAAAACAAAATGGCTAACCGTTTGAGTTTTAACGTAGAAGTCTGCAGAAAAGTTAGGCAATTCTAATTGCCACACTTCATAAGCGCATTTAAAGGTACAGAAAAAGAAACTATAATAAGAGGAAATATGTGGGAGAAAGAAATGATTACCTAGAGGCCAACGAAGTCTAATAATTCTAGGTCAGGTGAGAGCCTAGGAAGAGTTGTCATCTGAAGTGGTGACAATCAGTGGTGTCACTGATGTCACTACTTGCTGTTTCCATTTCTGTTTAATTTCATGATATATGTACTAATGGATTTAACCCGAACTCACTTCACCGACTCATGGATTGATTTGTTACAATCAGAGAATAGTCTCGTTGACTTAGAATATGCAGATGATAGTGTCCTTGCAGGTGAAAACGCTGACAAAATAGAGCAGAGTCTTCGGAACACTTTGAGCAGCAGCAATCTTCGAATGTTTGGCATACGACTCGCCCCCGTTAAATGTAAGATGACTGGACTACATTGTCTACTAGCTTAAAGATAAGCAGGAGTGAAGTGGTAGATCATGATGACCACTTCACTTATTTCGGGAGTTGCATCAGCCGTTCCCAGCAAGTTGACCGCTGATGAAATCTCAGGACGGATACAGAAGGCTCGATGTGCATATGCCAACTTATTTCATCTCTGGCGTTGACGTCATATCCGGCTGTCAAACAAAGGATATGTGTACTTCTCACCAGTCCGTTCTGTTCTCCTCTATGGCTTTCAGTGACACATGGCCATTAAAAGTGGAAAACATAAAAAGACTGGCTAGCTGTCTTTGATCATAGCTATCTTCGTTCTATCTCCCTTGTTAGATGGTATAATCGGGTGAGTAATATTGAGGTTAGTCTTCCAGTGTTGGGTAAGGAGGGAGTCAATCGATGAGATTGTGATGCTATATCGACTGAGATGGCTAGAACATGTGTATTACGTATCCCTAGCCATTGCCTTCCTCGATGGGGAATGTTATTCAACATAGGACCGATCAGGTTGGAGAAGAGTTAGTGGTGGTCAAACGAGAACACAACATAAGTCCATGAAATCGTTGACAGTTAGTTTGAGCCAGTCATGTAGGCAGGCGTAGACTGCAGGGTCGGGGTCCTCGGGACGGTGATATGGCTCAAAATCGTTTTCAATGGTGCAGATGCACCCACTCCTTGTGATTTATAATATCCAATAAAACTATCCTGCTCTTCGATATTACTAGACTTTTTGCCACATATCTCTGATTATTATCTCTCTTTTGAATCTCTTTTTACCCTCTCTTCTTGCTTTGTGTACCACGTGAAGTGTAGCAACTTGAAATGCTTTATATCTGTGCTTAGTGATAGGGAGTGAAGTGATAGAACATGTTGACCACTTCACCTATTTGGGAAGTTGTATCAGCACCAACGGATTGACTGCTGACGAAATCCCAGCACGGATTCAAAAATCTCAGGCTGCTTTCGCTAACTTACACCGTCTCTGGAATAGGCGTGACATCCGACTATCAACCAAAGGACGTGTGTACTGCTCAGCAGTTCGCTCCGTCCTTCTCTATCGCTCTGAAACATGACCAAAACGAGTTGAAGACATGAAAAGGTTGACTGTTTTTGATCATAGATGTCTACGATCTCTTTCTCACGTTAGGTGGCGTAATAAGGTAAGTAATGTTGACGTTAGGCGTAGAGTGTTGGGCAAAGAGGGAAAATCAATCGAAGAGGCTATAAAGTTGCATATATTGAGATGGCTAGGTCACGTGCTGCGCATGCCTAGCCATCGCCTCCCCCGACGGGCATTACTAGCTGAAATGGGTGCAGGTTGGAAAAGAGTAAGTGGTGGCCAAACAAAAACATGGCATCAATCCATGAAATCCTTGACAGTTAAACTGAGTCAGGTAGGGAGATGCAGACTTCCGGCTTGGGCCCCACCCTCGGGACTCTAAGAATCAATGGCTGGAGACAATAGGTGACATGGCTCAAAATCGTTGTCAATGGCTTACGCAGATGTATTCAATCTCTGTAATCTTTCATATTCCTTTCTACCATTACTCATTCTGTTTCACTCTTATACTTGTCAAAACTCTATTGATTCTCTTCACTCATTTTCTTGTCTACCTTTGTGTGCTATTTGGAACGTGGCAACTCGAACTGCTGCACTTCAGTGCCAAGTTCTATGTTGAATCCAGACAGACAGATGGATATCTGTGCAAAGTTCTACGTTGAAAGCAGTCAGTCAATAAGTCTACGAATGCATATGAAGTGAATAAATCTGCCCCAATGAGAACGATTCTGAGCCATGTCAACAACAGTTTCCAGCTATTGATTGTTAGAGTTTCAACGGCCCCAGCCATGCAGCAGTCTACATCTCTCTAACCAGCTGAAAGCAACAACCAAAAACTTCATAGATTGATGTCATGTTTTGGTTTAACCACTCTGAACTCTTTTCCCACCTAATCGTATGTCATTGCTAGACAAAGTAGGCAATGACTTAGGCCTACATATGCATAAGATAGTACAAACAGCTATTTAGTGAGACTTTCACCTTACATTCAGTTCTCGGTGAAATTGAATTCAAACAAACAAACAAAGAAAGAAAACTTATCTGCTGGGGACTGTGGAGAAGTACAGGCTTCAGCTTTCCTATTTTATCTAAAGTCTTAAGTTAAAGCTTTTACAGAAGGTTAATAAATTCTTCAAACAAACTCCCATAATTAAAACAATTAGTCCCTTTGATAAATTTGAATAAGGCATTTAGAAGACAAATTTCGCGAGATGATATCATTTCATAGTTTCTTTACAACCGCTTTACAACTAACATGGTTCACAATAATCAAATGAAGATCATAACAATTACTCAGTTAAATAAAAACAAAAGTAAGTACTAATGACCAATCATATTTTTAAATACGTCAAGTAGTCCTTGGTACGCGAAGGTTGAAGTCTATTGTTTTTTATACACATAGTTTAGGATGTGTGTGTGTGTGTGTGTGTGATTAATCCAAAGTGCTTCCATCACTTGAAGAGAGTTATCTCAAATAACTGTGAAGCAGTGATTAATATGGATTTTGTGACCTGACATTCATAAGTGCTTTGCAGTGAATGATGATGGATTTCTATCCAGATTAATTGTATTTGGATTTTCTACATGTTTTATTAACCATTTTGGAACAAATTCATTTCGACGACATTAGAACATTCTATTAGTTCTACCTACATAGATGTCACCGCAGCTGCAGGTGAACTTGCAGATACAGTTTAAAGTAGAGTCCACAGAATTTCCTCCTTTAGTCGTAGGTACAGGGATCGAAAATGTTCGGCATGTGAGAAAAAAAGATGGGGCGAAGAATGTGCGTTTGATGGCTGACCGAAGTCTTTGAGCTAACTGTCAACTGCATAATCTGGTCACCCTTGAATGGTAGGTTAATAAAGATAGCTTTCTTTGGTACAGAAGCTGTTTTTTCTAGATGTGGTCTATCCTTACTGTGACAAGTGATGAAGTTCTCTGGATAACGATTAGCTAATAAAACTGAATGTATATGTCGAAACTCATCCATCATTGTGTCACTCGTGCATATTTTTCGTGCCCTTGAGAACAAACATTTCACTAGGGAACGTTTATACTGGATAGGAACGAAACTGGTGAAATGAAGATATTGTCCACTCCATGTCTGTCTACGAAAAATAGATAGCTGAATCGTTCCATCATCTCTCCTGGTATTTGTAATATCTAGGAAACCGAGTTTGTTATTCAATTCGAGTTTGGAAGTCACTCGGATATTTAGATGAATATAATTAAATAGCGTAATAAAGTTTTCAATAGATTTAATATTATTACCAATAATGAAAGTATCATCTACATAACCTTTATATAACATAAATTCTACAATATACCTTGCATTTGTTTCTCCAATTTCGACATAAATATATCCGCTAACAGGGGCCCAATAGGGCTCCCCATCGCTCTATTAATTAACCAACAACAGAAAAAACTTATGATTTCCAATGAAACTGTTTTGTTCTTCGTTATTACTATTCCTTTGTCTCACAACTCAACTTTCTATCTATATTATGCATTTCTCCTACTTTCTTCCCTTCCTTTGTGTGCTACATGGAGTGTGGCGACTTGAACTGCCGCACATATGTGCAAAGTTCTATGTCGAAAACGGACCGACCGAGACAAGAAAATGAGTGAAGAGAATCAATAGAGTTTTGACAAGTATAAGAGTGAAACAGAATGAGTAATGGTAGAAAGGAATATGAAAGATTACAGAGATTGAATACATCTGCGTAAGCCATTGACAACGATTTTGAGCCATGTCACCTATTGTCTCCAGCCATTGATTCTTAGAGTCCCGAGGGTGGGGCCCAAGCCGGAAGTCTGCATCTCCCTACCTGACTCAGTTTAACTGTCAAGGATTTCATGGATTGATGCCATGTTTTTGTTTGGCCACCACTTACTCTTTTCCAACCTGCACCCATTTCAGCTAGTAATGCCCGTCGGGGGAGGCGATGGCTAGGCATGCGCAGCACGTGACCTAGCCATCTCAATATATGCAACTTTATAGCCTCTTCGATTGATTTTCCCTCTTTGCCCAACACTCTACGCCTAACGTCAACATTACTTACCTTATTACGCCACCTAACGTGAGAAAGAGATCGTAGACATCTATGATCAAAAACAGTCAACCTTTTCATGTCTTCAACTCGTTTTGGTCATGTTTCAGAGCGATAGAGAAGGACGGAGCGAACTGCTGAGCAGTACACACGTCCCTTGGTTGATAGTCGGATGTCACACCTACGCCAGAGATGGCGTAAGTTAGCGAAAGCAGCCCGAGCTTTTTGGATCCGTGCTGAGATTTCGTCGCCAATCAGTCCGTTGGTGCTGATACAACTTCCCAAATAGGTGAAGTGGTTAACATTTTCTATCACTTCACTCCCTATCACTAAGCTAGGAGTTGACGTAGTCCAGTCCTTTAGCAGCATGTTGCATTTTACAGGGGCGAATCGCATGCAAAACATACGAAGATTGCTGCTCAAGGTGTCCAGAAGTGATTATGTTGTACCGAGATGCTCAGTCTCTATCGACATGCTGGCTTCTAGTATGGACGTTCCAATGATGCTTGAGGATTAACGCGAAGATATTTTGGCATCAAAAGAATTCGAAACAACGGGTGTAGGGTTCGAATTTCAGTGGGAATGCAGGTACACCCGGATGACGAGTCTCAAACAGGACGAAATGAGCATCCTGGATTCCACTAACTAAAAATGCTGGTTGTTAGTGAAATCCAATAAAAAATAGAAGTGTTATTATCATAACGAATATCATCATTAGAACTTTTCCTTACTGTATTTGGTGAATCCATGCCAGGAAACCATGTTTTGAAGAGGCCAACACGTAGAAGGTTTCTGTTTGGACTCCTGAAATGAATGAAAACAAAAGGGCATGCACTATCAAGAGATATTTAATATATATATCCTGTAACCTGTTTAGGTTGGCAGAAAGACCTGTTTACCATTCTAATGATACTCCAAAAAAACAGACGTTATCACGACATCGCATTAAAAGAGAGAAAAAAAAGGAATTACACTCTACAAGCAGACCATAAAAGGTGGCCTTACACTAACAGAAGATGAATCACATTAAGATTTCAATACGGAATTGTATGACAATCCCCCCCAAATAATCCAGCATGGTGGAGAATTTTTATTTTATTTATTTTTTTAATTTTTATTTATTTTGATTTTGATTTACAGCTTGATTCCACGCCGTATTTTCAGTACAAGTATGGAATTTTCAGCATGGATATCGGTAGCCCAAATTCAGGCCGACCATAGATATCGGGTGTGCGCCGGCAGGAGATCGAACCCCGGACCATGTGCATGGTCGACGAGAGTCCTAACCACTGTGCCACCGACGCACTGTTTTTTTTTAATCATAAAATGGATTCACAGTCTGAATTGGAGAAGTTATCACCGTTTATTTTTTTTTCATTTCTTTGTGTTCTGGATGGAACATAGTGCTTCAAGCCTTTAAGTTTCATTAGCGTTATAGTATTGTTTTATGAGGGTGGGGTTGGTAGTCTCACGCCCTAACGTACTCACTCTCTTTTTTCAGACTAACTACTGTCTCGTAAATCAGACTAGGTTTAGGAGTACATCGGTCCGGAATCCAACCGTGAACCATGTAAGTTGGTTGGCGAGCATTAAATCTACCAGTGAACCGCCAACTCACTTAAGTGTGCATGCATGACCCCCACCCCCACCCCCCGAGGAACAAACCTAAGACCTTCAGTTTACAAGATGAGTCCATTAACCATTGAGTCACGCGGACTTCAATTGTATTTAAGTAGTAAGTAATGCCGTTTGGTTAACAAACATGGCCGGTTATTAACGCAGGCTTCAGGAAGTCGAGGAAGCAATTGGTCAGTAGTACTCCTATGCTGAAGCCACATATATACATAGCATGACAACTAACCTTGATTTCCATCACTACTTCTCAAACCACACCACGGATAAAAACTTCGGGGAAAGGTATGCTAAAATGACAACCTCTTTCAGTTTTGAATTCCACTAACTACCTCATCTTTCAAACAGTTTTGTATGAAGACAACTGTGCGATAAAAATTTCTTCAAAAACAATGCAATAGGGTTTCAAGATATCACTATATTAGAGCAAACGCTAACATATCTACTTATATATGAAGTAAGTAGAAAGCCTCAAAAAAAGAGGAAATCTAGTGATTATTCGAACAAAACATTATTTCTCCCTACGAAACATGTTTAATGGTCCAACAAGAATAAACAGGCATGCTTCTTCTTTGGTAACGGCATACTTTGAGTTCTCTGTAAGCTCAGACTTTTCTCTCATTCCCTCGAATTCCCAGTGGAAAATAAAGCTTCAATATACACATATATAAAGCTTCAAGCTCAAGCTTTGTAGTTTCAGTAAGAGTGATGATTTTTTACAGGGTGGGGTTTCTAGCCTCACGCAACACACACACACCCAACCTTTCCTTCTCACTGAGCAGCTTACTGCCGGCTAAGCAAAGTTTAGGGGCGCTTCAATTTGGAATCAAACGTGGACCTCCAGTGTGGTTGGCGAGCAGGTTCACACTTACGTAATGACTAATTATAAGTGCATTTATGGAATAGGGTACGTGTCTAATGAACCTTAACAAAACAATTTAAAACTTCTATGAAAACTGATATCTGGTGTACTTGAATTTCATAACAGAGAGAACTGCAGACATTAACGAAAAAAGAGCTGAGTATTACTATTCAACAGTCCAGGGGTTGTGCTACACCTTCAATCTGCATATCGAATAGAAAATAACATAAAAGGGAGACAAGTAGATGGACAAAAGTAATAGTAGGATATACTCGAAAAGTATAACAAAAACAAAAGGGAAGATAAGGTAAATGGGGAAATAAGGCCAAGACTAACAAAAGCGGGTCTGGAAACTATCACCAGGCTATGAAGTTACATAGATTGAGATGGTTAGGTCACATGGTGCGCATGCCTAACCATCGCCTCCCCCGACGGGCATTACTAGCTGATATAGGTGCAGGTTGGAAAAGAGTAAGTGGTGGCCAAACAAAAACATGGCATCAATCCATGAAATCCTTGACAGTTAAACTGAGTCAGGTAGGGAGATGCAGACTTCCGGGTTGGGGCCCACCCTCGGGACTCTAAGAATCAATGGCTGGAGACAATAGGTGAAATGGCTCAAAATCGTTGTCAATGGCTTACGCAGATGTATTCAGTCTCTGTAATCTTTCATATTCCTTTCTACCATTACTCATTCTGTTTCACTCTTATACTTATCTAAATTCTATTGATTCTCTTCTCTCATTTTCCTGTCTACCTTTGTGTGTTATTTGGAACGTGGCAACTCAAACTGCTGCACTTCGGTGCCAAGTTCTATGTTGAATCCAGCAGCAGCAACCATGACTCTGTAATGATAGCTCTCAGTGATCAAGTGTACCTTTTATACTTTTTTTAAATGACTCTTATAATTGGCCACCGACTCCATGTACTCATACGATGTCTTTTTCGGACTAATCGTAGCTTTTTTTGTAACCTCATCTGACCTCTGACAACATGTCAGCATTGAGATAGGCGGTGTAAAGGTGTATGATGTATAAATCACTCGCCAGGGGAGATAGGAGTTTAAATTTCCCATTTAACTTACCATATGCAGAACTTTGTACATAACTTACACGTCGCTCACTACATAGTATCAGTAAATAATAAAGAACCAATATTATTGCTATAACTACGCTGCCTAATACACTTAGTGTGTGTAAGTTTAGGATACACTCCGGATGCCCAAGATGAAGTTGGTGCGATTATGTTTGAAACAGAAATCTATAGCTTGATAACCACAAATGTTTACAGTGATTAAGCCGTATTTTCAAAATATCACGAAAAAATATGGATAGTAAGTAATAAAAAAGGGAAAAATCCCCATTCAACTAACAACTAGTGAAATCTTCACCATGTCTACAAGATGCCAACGTATAAAACCTGCTATCAGTTGGTGATAACAAACGCTAACACAACACTGGGAAAAATGTGGGCGACATTTTTACTATTCACCAAAAAAACCCATCCACGGACCCGTTGACAGTGAAGGAACGTAATGGGTTTCTGCGGTATTCTATCAAGCTTGCTGAAGTCAATGCGAGGATCGGTTTTCTTAGAAATTGCACAAACAACCATATATATCCAAAGTAGTATTTGCTGAACTGTTTTTTCTTACATTTTCAATAGTCATACTTAAACATAACTCAATGAAACCTGTTAGTTGTAAAGAAACTGACTGACTAACTGGTTTCAACGTAGAACTTTGCACCGATGTGCAGCAGTTCAAGTTACCACACTTTACGTAGCACACAAAGCAAGAGAAGAGAGTAAAGAGAGATAATAAACAGAGATATGAGGCAAAAAGAATAGTGATATGGAAGATCAATAGAATTTTATTGGATATTATAAATCACAGGCGTCGGTGGCACAGCGGTAGAATGCTCGCCAATCACGTATTTGGTTCCGGGTTCAATCCCCGGCCACAGACGCACGCTTTTACCTCGCTAAGCCATTAGTAAAACTGGCAAAGAGGGAAGGTTGGGCATGAGGCTAGCAACCCCATCCCGTAAAGAATAAACACTACTGCTGCTGAAACTTCAAGCCTCTAGCTTGAAGCCCTATTTTCCACCGGGAACGTGAAGGAATAAAAGAATTTAATTACTACGTAAAAACTAAATATCCTCATCTATAAATTATCCCTTGCAACTGATAGATTCCGACCAACACTGAAGATTAGATGATACGTCATCCGCTAGTAAATGTATTTGATTTACCTTCACAAGTGATCAGTTGCAATCTGAACTGGTAAGCCAACTTGATTACAACAACACTGGAAGAAAAGGGTTTGAACATCTACGTTGATATCATTTCACTCAAGCTTATGAGTACACTTTTTTTAATGAAGTCCAAAATGTGTAACTTTCTCTCAACCACTAAACACTTATTTTCTCCACACAGTTTTGTGCTGATAAGCGGCATTTAATAAAAAACAAAACAATAATTAACCTATACTATATACAATGATATCCTCATTACTTACCTACAGTCGACTACGGACAGATATACCAAATCTCCTACAAATCGAATAGCAAACGTAAACCATCGAAATGTGTTCAACATATATGAGCAAGGAAGATTTAAAGATTTTCTGATAACGGCATATTCTTCAAATGACATACACGGGACAGAGTCATACGTATTATCCGAATATGAATCAGTAACATCACAACTAGCTATCACAAATAAAAATAAATAAAACCAAATAAGAGTGCGTAATTTACATATCAGTGATAAAAAGAAGAGCTGCCCTATCGTATTAGACAGGAAATAGTATGTTTGAGAATACTGCTTAAGAAAGATATTACACAGAAATGTGAGGGAGAGAGAATAGTAACAGAGAAAAACAATTGGGTTTTACTGAATATGGCAGATCGCAAAGAGTGAATGCATCTGCACCATTGAGAACGATTTTGAGCAATATCCCGGCAATGGTTCTTAAAATCCCGAGGACTCCAAACAGCCAAGCAGTCTACACCTCCCCGCATGACTGGCTCAAACTAACTGTCAAAGATTTCATGGACTAATGCTGTGTTCTCGTTTGACCACCACTAACTCTTCTCCAACCTGATCGGTTTTATGTTGGATAACATTCCCCGTCGAGGAAGACAATGGCTAGGGATACGTAACACGCATGTTCTAGCCATCTCAATCGATGTAGCATCACAACCCAATCGATTGACTCTCTCATTGTCCAACACTCGAAGCCTGACCTCAATATTACTCACCCGATTATACCACCTAACAAGGGAGATAGAACGCAGACACTTTTGATCAAAGACAGCTAACCAGCCTTTCATGTTTTCCACTTTTAATGGCCATGTATCACTGACAGACATAGAGGAGAACACAGCGAACTGGTAAGCAGTACATACGTCCTTTGGTTGATAGGTGGATATCATGTCTGCTAAGCACGAGATAGCGTAAGTTAGCAAGTGCCACATGAGTCTTTTGTATCCGTGCTGAGATTGCGATTGTGGACGACTTTAGACCATATTTCCAAGAATCTCAAATCACTGCTTCTTAAACTCCCTATTACTTATACCTAGCTTCAACGGCTAAACCAAAGATAAGAGACTTCATAGATTGCGGATACATTCTGATGTAATTACCGTAAACTTTTCTTTGATGTAATCTTGTTTCAAATGATATTGAAAGAAAAGCTAAGTGTTAGTGACAAATTTCCTGACTATTTTAGTTGTGAAAGTTTGTATTCTGATTATTTACTGTAGTTCCATCACACACACAAGTAGCACTACAAAATTCACCCCCATGTATTTGACGAGTCAGACAGAGTCAAATCTGATGGTCACGAATACCTAACTGATCATGTATATGCCCTTATAGACGAGATGGTATGACTGAGGGTGGATAGACTTCAGTCTTTCTCTCCAAATTTTCTCATATGGCCACGCGTTCATAGTCTCTGTAAGGTAAGTCCTATACACTACCTTCACGTGGCTGGAATGTTCCTCACAAGGTAAAAGGGTAAACACGAAATTCTGGCACTTAAAACCAGACTAGTGAGTATGGTGGTTTACCTAGGGGAGTTGGAAAGTCCTGATTCCAAACCAATAGTATACGTGGCCTCTAGAATCCGGCTGGATCGAATGGTGTATAAACCTGTTTGGTCCCCGGAAGCTATGAGGACGCTACTCCACAATCTTGTGGTTTCAAGTCAGAGCCTCCGAGGGTAGTCCTTTAAGACAACTACCTGCACAGGCAGTATCCGGGCCCTCGCACATCTCTTGGTGCCCATAATGTACCAAATTTGTTTTGATAAAAATTATTGTGATTATGAAAAAGAGAAGACATTCAGCGAAGAGACTCTTTTCGGCGAATTCATTCACATAGCTGTACAATCGCATTTATATATAAATATTTGTGTGTGTGTGTGTGTACATGAGGTTTGTCAAGTTAAGATTAGTTAATACAAGAATGATGTAGTATAGAGACAAAGTTAATCAGACAGCAACTAAAGTAAGACTGAGTTAAAAAACTAGATGACGTAATATAATTGGCTAAAATATTACAACTTAGGTCAGGATAGCAACAGAGGTAATTACAGGTAGAGATTAAGTAGAAGTGAAATTGAGTGAATAAGTTGGATAACGTAACATGAATGACTAGAAACTGAGCGTTGTTCAAGTCAGTACCACTGTTACTGACTTGAACAACGCTCAGTTTCTAGTCATTCATGTTACGTTATCCAACTTATTCACTCAATTTCACTTCTACTTAATCTCTACCTGTAATTACCTCTGTTGCTATCCTGACCTAAGTTGTAATATTTTAGCCAATTATATTACGTCATCTAGTTTTTTAACTCAGTCTTACTTTAGTTGCTGTCTGATTAACTTTGTCTCTATACTACATCATTCTTGTATTAACTAATCTTAACTTGACAAACCTCATGTACACACACACACACAAATATTTATATATAAATGCGATTGTACAGCTATGTGAATGAATTCGCCGAAAAGAGTCTCTTCGCTGAATGTCTTCTCTTTTCCATATGACTCAATGGGGATTTTCAATCTATTGTGATTATATATATAAATATATGATAAACTATGGTAAGCAACATTTTTAACCGGATAATTATACTAAGAATTATGAGCGGTGCACAGGTAAAGTGAATAGTAATGACACATCATAAACACATGTACACTAACATAAACTGACGGATATTTTAGCCAGATCGTTGGATAGAACATCAACTGAATCAACAGCTACATTTTCATCAATATCATTTGTTGAGTTATTTTCTTCGATTTTTGATACAGAGCTAAAAAGGAAGATTGAATATTATATTAGCAAAAGATTTAGGATTACTTTGATAGTTTACGGGTGATACCTCCTTGGATATTTGATGGTGTAAGTTCTTCAGTAGTTTTTAGCGGAGCAAAGTTCTAGAAAGAACAGATCTTCACAAAAGAGAATTTAAGACGTTAATACCTTTTTCTCGGTTAGAACAGACTGAATCTTTTGAATAGACTTTTGTAATTTTTCACCGGAATCAGGTAACTTCGAAAAAAGGCTACGTCCAGAATTAAAACAATTTCATACGACAAACCTTTTATGCAAATTCATCTGCCTTAATAGCAAGTCCTCTAGCTCTACAACAGAAAACACTTCAAGGGACGGTTGTTTTTCCATTTGTAAGTCTGGAATTTATGGAAGGAAGGAAAATAAGGAGTTCGCAGTGCTGAAATAGAAACATTGGCAAATGATGAGTACACTGACATAAATCTATCAGGACAATTGAACACGGCAAAAACAACAAATGTAGTAAGATAATGAGCTCATTTTTATTATGCGAATTCTTTTCAAAAACCCAACTTAGGCAGTACCAAAATACCAAAACAATTACGAAAAGTATTTATGTATCACATGACATTAGAATTTTGGTAATTATTTAGACTTATAGCTAAAACCAAACCGAAAGACCATGAATATCGAGAACAAAGTGTTAAGACATGTACTTAGGAGATCACAGAGCACAATTTTGGAACAAATATAATTAACTTTGAATCGGATGAAATGTCACTATCAGTTCTTTTATTCCCAATAAGGTTGCTTTAAAACTTAAATCTAGTTAAAATAATAGGACCTCACTGTTCATCTGCAGGAGCCTCTAGGAGTAACGATTACGTGTTTGTTGTTTAGAATAAGCCCGACCGAAAGCTGCTACCTTGACGTGGTGGTCGGGCTTGAACACCGCAATGACCCAACAAGCTATACTGGCTGGAACCTATGTTCCTGCAGGTCCTACCATGCCAGGAAGGTTGTTCGGATAGCGGTTAGACTAAAAGCAGTTACCCAAACCAATCCAATGACTTCAAGCAAATCACAAAATTTCATGCCGGATCGGTCGGGGCCCGGATTAACAACGACCGCGCTTTCTGCTGCCGTGTCACAGGGCAGAAGTGATAAATACGCTACTGAGACACACCAAATAAAAAACAACAAACAAAAACAGGCCGTGTGTGACCGGCCTCAAGCAGTTGTCCCCTGGGCTCTGCGGTCACGCAACCAACTTCCACGGTGTGGGCAGCCGGGAAGCAACAATCGCCCTCACAACCCGAAGAGCACACGAAACCTCTCTATTCCTCACTCACCTTTGTCTTCATCGTCATCTCTATTATCTTTCCTTCCTTCTACTAATGCAACTCCTCTAATTAATGGCTCTTCACTTCCTCTTCACTCTGTGTGCACTGATAACGATGGAAGCCAAAAAGCCACCATCGATAGTCTCCTAAAGCCACGCCACCAATTTCATATAGGAGCATTTAATGTTAGGACACTTTGCCAAATAGGACAACAGGCATCACTAGCCAAGACTCTGGCATCCCGAGCCATTGATGTATGTTGTGTTTCAGAAACACGCATACAAGACCCAAGTGTGGTTATTCACCTAACCCCACCTGGCCAACAGGATGAATCTGCAAAATTCACCTTGAGGGTGTCAGGAGATGAGACGGCTAGCTCACGAGGATTAGCTGGTGTTGGGATAGCTCTGAGTACTAGGGCAGAAAAGACACTACTTGACTGGATCCCGGTAGATAGCCGAATGTGTGCTGTCCGTTTGAACGGATCAGTGAAAAGGAGAAAGGACTGCACTACTCGCCGATGCCTTTTCGTAATCTCCGCCTACGCCCCCACTGACTGCAGTTCGGATGAAACGAAGGATGAGTTCTACCAAAAGCTGTCTAGTTTGCTGCGAAAGGCTAAACGCTCAGATATAGTCGTTTTAGCTGGTGACTTTAATGCTCAAGTGGGGAAATTGTGTCAATCTGAGAAGAATGTTGGTGGCACATACGGAATTCCGTGCCAGCGAACCGACAACGGTGACCGTCTCCTACAGTTCTGTTCAGATAATCACTTGTTTCTTGTAAGCACTAACTTCAAACACAAGGAGAGACACTGTCTTACCTGGCGACCTCCATCATCAAACCAACGCTGGACACAAATAGACCACATAGCAATAAGCCATCGTTGGCGTGGGTCGGTAGGAGATTGTCGCTCCTTCTGGAACACGTGTGTAGATACCGATCACGCACTGGTCCGCGCTCGTGTGTGCTTACGACTGAACGGACGTAGGAAACAGCTGGCGGTAAACCCATCACGTCCCCAACTCGATCTGGAAACTAAGTCCCTATTTGAGGAAGAACTAGCTAAACACATATCTGAGTTCGACAGCTGCGCTCACCCTGAAGAAGCCTGGAAGAATATTCAGTCAGCCATAGATACAGCTGTAAAAGCTGTGAATAAGGTAAATCCAAAGGTGAGTAAAAACCATTGGATTTCGACTGCCTCATCCGAACTGATAGATGCTAGAAGACTTATTCCGGCGAGCTCCGAATTCAATGAGGAGCGAAAGCTGCACAAAAGGAAACTTACGAAAAGTCTCCGCAAGGACCGTGAACAGTGGTGGTTGACAAAGGCGAAAGAGATGGAAAAAGCATCGGCGATAGGCAACACTAGGCAACTTTTTAGACTCATCAGGGAAACGGGTGGGAGAAGGCAAATCATAAGTGAGACTATTCGTGAGAAAAATGGCTCCTTAATTAGCTCTCAGGATAGACGCCTCGAACGCTGGAAAGAACACTTCGAGGAACAGTTTAACTTGCCTACAGCCACACTGAGCCTCCCCGCCATCCAGCACACACCCGAATGGGACATAGACACTGGCCCGCCGTCTGTAAGTGAGGTCACCAAAGCAATCTGTAATTTGAAACGAGGCAAAGCGGCAGGACCCGACGGAATTATTCCGGAGGTATTTAAATATGGGGGTGACATACTAGTATATAGTTTAACTAAGGTACTAGGTAACGTCTGGGAATCAGAGACGGTTCCATCAGACTGGGGTAAGTCACTTATTATACCGATTTTCAAGAAGGGAGACAAGTCGTCATGTGATAATCATAGGGGGATCAGCTTAACGAACATAGTCTCTAAAATCCTAGGCTCAGTAATCATGAACAGACTAAGCCGAACTCGGGAGGAACAAACGAGGGAAAATCAAGCGGGCTTTAGGCCAGGTAGAGGGTGCATAGATCATATCTTCACTCTCCGACAGATCCTAGAACATAGACACACTTTTAGGCGTCCAACAATTGCCATATTTCTTGACTTGAAGGCGGCCTTCGACTCCGTGGATCGAGAGGTTCTATGGCAATGTTTGACTGTGAAGGGAGTGCCAAGAAAGTACATTGCACTGATCAAGGCACTCTACTCAAACTCACGTAGCTGTGTAAGGGCTTATGGGGAATTGTCATCTGAATTGATAACAACTAGTGGTGTCCGTCAAGGATGTCCACTTTCCCCTTTTCTGTTTAACTTCATCATAGATATGCTAATGGAAGTATCCTTAACTGAACTTAATGACTTAGGAATCGACTTGCTACCAGGGAATAGTCTTATGGACTTAGAATACGCAGACGACATAGTCCTGTTAGGGGAGGACGCTGACAGAATGCAGAGTCTTCTGAACACCTTGAGCAGCAATCTTCGTATGTTTGGCATGCGATTCGCCCCTGTGAAATGTAAGATGCTGCTACAGGACTGGACTACGTCAACTCCAAGCTTAGTGATAGGGAGTGAAGTGATAGAACATGTTGACCACTTCACCTATTTGGGAAGTTGTATCAGCACCAACGGATTGATTGGTGACGAAATCACAGCACGGATCCAGAAAGCTAGGGCTGCTTTCGCTAACTTACACCATCTCTGGCGTAGGCGTGACATCCGGCTGTCAACCAAGGGACGTGTATACGGCTTATCAGTTCGCTCCGTCCTTCTCTATGGTGGTGAGACGTGGCCATTGAGAGCTGAAGACATGAAGAGATTGTCTGTTTTTGACCACAGATGTTTACGATCTCTTTCTCACGTTAGGTGGTATAATAAGGTAAGTAATGTTGACGTTAGGCGTAGAGTGTTGGGCAGAGGGAAAATCACTCGAATAGGCTATGAAGTTACATAGATTGAGATGGTTAGGCCACGTGCTGCGCATGCCTAACCATCGTCTCCCCCGACGGACGGGCATTACTAGCTGATATAGGTGCAGGCAGGAAAAGAGTAAGCGGTGGCCAAACAAAAACATGGCATCAATCCATGAAATCCCTGACAGTTAAACTGAGTCAGGTAGGGAGATGCAGACTTCCGGTTTGGGGCCCACCCTCGGGACTCTAAGAATCAATGGCTGGAGACAATAGGTGACATGGCTCAAAATCGTTGTCAATGGCTTACGCAGATGTATTCAGTCTCTTTAACCTTCATATTCCTTTCTACCATTACTCATTCTGTTTCACTCTTATACTTATCTAAATTCTACTGATTCTCTTCTCTCCTTTTCCTGTCTACCTTTGTGTGCTATTTGGAACGTGGCAACTCCAACTGCTGCACTTCGGTGCCAAGTTCTATGTTGAATCCAGACAGAGACAGAGTTTAGAATAACTAAAATACCAGTTAACAAGTGAGAACCGCATTTCCATAAGGATAATACAAACTTTTACCAATTTCACTGCATAAAAATTAGGGAAATTGTTCGGTGTAAGAGAAACACGTACGCTTGCAACTTTCAACAGGCATGCGCACTTTTATTCAATTGATAATTAACGACGTCTATTGCATCTAAGCCAATGATTCTGTTGAATGAAGTTTAAACGTTCAATCCTCCACTCTGATGACAATAGCTCAAACTGAGTCCTAGAGTACTACCCAAAAGTAGCGCCTCATCTTCACTGGATAGGTATAAACAGAGGTCAGCTGCACTTTATCCAGTAATGACAGTAACTGGGTAGTTGAAGGATGCAGTGACAGCTGCAGTAGCACAGAAAGGAAATCCTCTAAATCCAAGAGTACAGTGGTGTCAATCCTTTAGTGATGTGACTCTGGAAAATGTGTGATTTGACATTATTAGGACGGGGTTACACACTGAATAAGCCGTCTTGATAAAAAAAATGTAACTGAGGACACTGGAGAGGAGTTAAGGTTATAATCATTAAATTATATGATACTAGTTCAAGAAGACGATTCACCGACAGATTACCGAATAGCTGTTCTGTGTCTATTATCTGTACGCTTCTTAAGTGGGCACTCAACTGAAAAATTACCACCTTATTAAGCTTCAAACACTTAATTCCACTAAGCCGATTACTATTACGTGATTTCTTACCTTAGGATACCACTAAATAAGTGTATCAATTAAGTTACCCCCTTAAAAACTCAATAATATACTACAACTTTCGGGAAAAATTTCCTTCGAAATTGTTTCTTTATAATTTTCTTCAATCCGGAGGTTGCTTAGACCAAGAATAACTATCAATAATAAAGTCTAAGCCAATTAAAAGTTTAAGTTTCACGCGTGAACCACTCCACACATCTAGTGAACTCTAACACATGCAATCACAAACTCGACAGGGATTCTGGTTACATCTGAACAACAAAATACAAGACATGATTCCGAAAAAGTCCTTGCTGTTGATTTACACACATCCAGAGGACAATATATATTGTCCAAATATTTGGACAAAGTAAGACTATATAATAGGTAAGTATACTTATTGACACTCTTATGACTGAGTGTGAGTCAAATAGCAAGTTATTTACCATTTTTCAAACACTTAAATGTTTATATATTAGATAATTATGAGATAATTATCTCACAAATATATACACTTCCAATTAAAATTGCTTCTAAAACGAAATTAGTATATTTAAAGCCACCGTTGCTCTTATTTACTTTGAGCCCTCCAATTCATTTCCGCCCTACATTAGTAACTGTAAGAAATAAATAGGACAAAATGTGGGAGAGCCAAACCACCTCGACAAACGACCTTGACCATTCAACGGGCGCGCTTCAGATGCAGATCATAAGAATAGAAGTCTCTTGTTGACTGAAATTAAACATCACGTACAAGGTCATTGACGGAGTGAGACGCTCAAAGGTCATTTTCGTCCATGTTAGTCGGCCATGTTGGATTGCAGTTCCGTAGCTGTTCGTTTACACATTGGTTTTTCCGTTTATCCAGCAGTTATTCACAACCACCAAAATAAATGGCCAGAAAATGGGAATTCCCATCAATCCAGATAACATATATTATTATTTTATTAAAAATTATTGACAAAAAAAATTTCCAAGTGAAATATCAACAGCTGTTCTAGAAAGTGATATTTAAGGTCAGCCATTTGAAAGACTAGAACCTGCAGGACACGCTGACCTGTAAGATGTCTCACGAACGCCCATCACAAACTGAGCTGGACAATGCAAATGGCGTTGCAAGTCAAATAGAGGCATCAAAAACGTCGAGGACTCCACAATAGAACCCAGCGAGGTGCTCAGCTGATCATATATACTGACCATGGTGCGGAATTCTCACCTGCCCACGCAGTCCACAAACACTGGTGGAAACGAGCACCAACACTTGGCTGGCCTATTTTACGAGATCAAACATGATAATGCATGGTGTTAAATACCATACAGAGTGGAACAGTCGTTTCCTAATATTAAGTCCAGTCATGGTATGCTAATAGGGTGCCCCTGAAACAGTTGTGGTGTTGATGATATGCGTTGTTTCTATCAATTTGTTCTTCTGATATGTTTGTCAACTAGGCTTTTAAGTACCTTTCTTACAACTATGAACAGCACTACCAGTCTACAATCCGCCGCACTTTTCCTATCTTCACCGTTGAAATTAGGAGGAGAAGATTCTCTCTTTCACTCCTGAGGTATTTTCTGTAGGTCTATGAAGTGCTGCAACAGGTCGCATGAGAACCTCCAGAATGTTTATATGCACTTTTTTAGAACCGACGGTGGAACATCGTCACAGCCCAATGACCTTCCTGGGTTGAGTTCCGGCAGTTCTGCTAGTCAGTGTTTAAAGTACCTGCTAGGTTTTCTCTTAACAGTTCAGCAGGAAGCCCCTTCTGCCTTACGATAATGGTGCTCAAAACGCTATTCAGTTTTTGTCGAATGTCGAACTTATTATTTCAGGAGTCCCAAACCAGCGAGATACTAACTATTTAGACCGTTTGGTGCTCATTCTCCCTAGATAGTAGGTCATATTCCCTACTTCAGTTGGTGCAAGTTCCCGCTGTTGGCTAGTAATGTAAAATCTTCGATCTATCAATATTGCCGTTCATTCACAAACTTTCTAGCCTCCAAAACGTCAAATATGCCGGAAGGTTAGGCCCACCTAGGGGATCACGAAGCTCCTTAGGATATTGGAGCTGCTGAAATCGGCAATCGTAGTGTCAGGAAAAAGTCCGGCACACTGACTGAAAAGGGAACCTAAGGAATAAGTTAGAATTTCGAAAAAATCGAACTAAAATTAATTATGAGTGCTTTAGCCCTCACCATTGTATTGTACACCTATTGGCCACACATTCTCAATTTCAGCCAAGGCCTGAAGTTTAGATTGTTCCAATGGATATGCGAAGGTTTTGTCCTCCAGTCAAAAGAGAGCTGCTATATAATGAAATGTCTGTTTTGGTGTTACGGTTCAGGCTGCTCATCTTTTTATAAGTTAATATTTAACAACCTGTAATAGATATATTTATTCCTGTTTATACAGAAACATAACAGTTGTACAGGCATGGATAAGTTATTATTTAAATTACACATATTTCGATGTATGTTGAATTTACAGTTTGTTTGTTCTCTCTGACACTAGAGCCAGTCGGAACAGTCTGCTAAATAGTCTGTCTGTGTAACACATAAAGAGATATAGAAATATTGTCTTCGCATTAACAAAAAACCCAGACATCAGATGAATGTTATACAAATATCTGGGAAAAATAAAGCTTGAAGTCAATTCTCCTATATAACTTTGTTGTGAACAGCATCGTTGAGTTAAAGTTAATTGATGTATTATTTTGAGGTCAGTGATGTATTTATTCCATTTTCTTTCAGCAGTCTAATCGTAGTTTTATAATAGGAAAGAAATTTGATCGTGGATACGAAGACTAGATAGGGTCATGTTAGTTACAGGATTTTCGTCATGAGCTGACATTAGTTAGAGAACCACTGGAAAACCTGGGAGTACTGGACCGCCGTTTCGTCCTAGTTTGGGACTCTTCAGCAATACGCACCCACCGGGATTCGAACCCAGGACCTTCTGAGTCATGTTAGATTGTTTTACTGTATGGAATGGGGCTGAGGTCGATTCTAGAACTACCCATTGACGCCATTTGTTTCAAGATGGCAGACTGTACACGTAAGTTAAGTAAAACATTGAAAACTGTTTGAAAACCAGTTGCTTCTTTATTTCAGATCAAGAATACTCCTTGTACAGAATGTTAGCCAGCGTTTTCAAGTGGTTGCATCGGATCGTTCATGGAATTTGATTTTGAATTTACTTAAATGGTCATTTCAGTTTAGATGTTGGGTTGTTCGACCTCGACCAGGAGGTATATAGAAGAGTAATCTCAGCAGCAAAATAGCAGAATGATAAAGTACGTAAAAATGAAGAGAACATTAATATTTTAGGTATATATATAAATGTTTATAAATGTATATCATTGTATAGTAAACACTACCTATAATCTAGTTGTTCTTTCATGTATTTTTGCGAAGTCTTAGAGTTTATTTAGTGTCATAATATTTAGTAGTGAGTCTAGGCGTCATAGTGTTCTAATAGCTGATGCGTTTTAGAAATAAGTGGTGCGGTGTGATTGGCATAGTCATTTGGATGAAGCAGTTTATATAGCAAGCGTTTGAAGGTCGTAGGAGAGTGACAGGTCCTTATTTCTAGGGGTAAACTGTTCCAGATCTTAGAATACATGACTATGAAGAAGTTTGCACGGAGTGCTGTTTTACAATTTTTCCTAGATACTGTGCACGTTTGGTTACGAAGGTTGTAAGAGCCTTCCGGTGAGAACTGTATCTCATTGCTGTCTGAGAATGATATTTTATGCAGTATTTTAAAGAAAAATATTAGATTAATGATCAGTCGTCTCATCCAGAGTGGGTCGATACCTAGAGTTATACACCTTGATGTGTAGTCCTTTTCGCAGTCAAATCCTAGTAGTTTAGACGTGAAGTATCGTTGGACACTTTCTATTTCAAGTTTGTCACTTACGCGAGTGCTGCTGAGAATAAATGGACAATATTCAAGTAGTGGTCTGACGCAAGTTTTATATAATAATAGTTTCGCTTCGTAGTTTTGGAAGTTCCTGAGTATGCATCCTAAGAGCATCCTCGATTTACGCGTCTGTGTAGCCACTTGCTCAGAAAATGTCAGGTCGCTAGAGTACCTGAGTCCTAGGTCAACAACACTTTGGAGTTTAGGCAAGTCAAGAGATTCAAGTACCAGTTTGATATTTATTGAGGGTGCACCGAAACAAAACCAGCCACATTTTTTAAGGTTGAATTTTGGATTCCATATGGAGGACCATGCAGTTACTCTATCTAGTTCTTCCTGAGCAGCTTTCTGAAAGTATCCTAAGTCATCACAGTGGAATGTGTAAGCTACTTTAAGATCATCTGCAAAGATGAATGGTTTACCAAGTGACAAACAGCTGCATATGTCGTTGACATATAGAGTGAATAGGAGGGGGCCTAAGACGCTGCCTTGAACTACTCCAGAAGTGACTGGACTAGGTTTAGAGTTTACAGAACCCAGTCTAACTACTTGGGACCTATTGTTAAGGAATGATTCAATCCATCCTATTAATGGGTTACTTATTCCTAAGGAGTTCAGCTTATTTATTAGAAGCAAATGGTCAACGCGGTCAAAGGCTTTGGAGATGTCGAAGTAGATGACTAGTACTAGTTGTTGTTTGTCTCGGCTGCTAGTTATATAGTTAAAGAAGTCAAGGTGACATGTCATGCATGATCTGGATTTTAGGAATCCATGTTGGTTTGGACTTAGAATATTGCAGCTGAGCATATGTTTGAGGATATCATCTTTAACTATTCTTTCAATGATTCTAGATACTATGGGTGTAATATTGATTGGCCTATAGTTGTTGACTTCAGTTTTTGATCCGGATTTGTGTTCAGGTACTATAAATGTGGTTTTCCATTTATCTGGATAGGTTTGGCTTTCTAGGGACATTGTAAAAATCTTAAGTAATAAAACGGAAATGTCAGAACCACCGTGTTTATAAAGATACGATGGTATACCGTCAAAACCGGCACTACTTGAGCTTTTAAGAGTATTAATGGCTTGGTTAATATTGGAGTAAGTGAAATGAACTGTAGTGATTTGTTTCAGCGTTGAAGATGAAGGGAGTTTTATTGTAGATTGTAAACCGAGAAGTGGACTTGTAGGCTTAAGGTAGTTAGCTGCAAACGTCTCATTAAACAGTTCACACATGTCTGCATGGTTGCTGTTTAGTTTGCCCTTTTTTTTAAGGAGAGAAATTTTATGGCTTTGGCGATTCATTCGTTTCTTTAGGATTTCTTTGAGGGCACCTACTCTGGTGGTGCTGGCTAGTGCCGTGCATTCTTCATTCCTCATACACAAGTTGTGGGCTTGCGAGATGGAGCTAAGAGTACTAAGTATTGACCCTAGTGTACTAAAGTCGTGTCGCCTGAAGTAACTTGTTGACAGTCTTTTCAGTTTCCTACGATCCTTTGGCTTTATGAATGACTTTCTATGTGGGGAGAACTTAAGGGTTTGAAATGGGATGACAGCATCTAAGCATGTGTTGGAGTTATAGTAAAAGATGTCTAGAGCTTTCGAGAGGCTATCAGTATAGAAGTACTCACTCCATTCTGAGGATCTTAGCATTGATTTTACTAGAGTCCAGTCTGCCTTACTGTAGTTCCTGTAAGTTATTTGTTGTGAAGTAGGGGTATGGGTTGCATTGCTACTTGACGGAAGTGGCAGTGCGCACAGCACTGTTTTGTGGTCACTCCCTGA